GAGAAGCTATTTCAATATGGTTTTAATTAGAAGTTAAAGTGAGTTTTCTTTTCAAATAACTAATTACTTTGTACAATATTCAAATATAAAATGGAGGGAGTAGTTAATTTTTATTTGTGTAACTTCTAAATAGTTTTAAAGGGTAAAAGAGGACAGAAAATAGGCTACACCAGAAAAATGTATTGCCTTTATATATTGTTATAGATAAAGGCAAAACATTAGTTTGGTGTAGCCTTTTTTTCTTCCAAATTTACCCTTTTCAATTTTTGTTTTAAATTTTAATTTTTTTCTCACAACGGCGGTTACACGACGGTTTATTAACCCCCAACGATTTATTATTTTTCATATCATTATCTTTAATTATTTTATAAATAATTTATAATTAAATTAAAATTAGATAATCTATCTATAACTATATATAAACGGAACATGCAATTTTAGACTGTCCTATTTTTATTTCTATTTTATCATTTAAAAATTTAATTTAGTTAATTTTAAAACTAAAATACAGATAAAAAAATGAAGTTTTTATTAAATGATGGTAGTTATTTTGAATTGTGGTAACTCCATAACTACTAGAGTTGGTTTTTTATTTTATTTTTTATATATAAATCTCTCAAGGTGTGATGCATAACATAAATACAAATTTATAGAGAGTAAAAAAAACACGTTCATTTAATGTTTCATCCAATGATTCTTCATAATTTATGGTTTGTGGGTGGTTAATAATTTGCTTCTTTGTCATTGTTTGTATTAGAAGTCCTATGGAAGTTCCAATATTTGCTTCTGTATTGTTTTTGTATTAGAGAGCAACATCAAGATTGAAACTAATTCATACTTATATTGTCTGGTCTTATTACACTAACATTCCATCATCAAAAGAGGTAATTTTGAATTTCAAAGATAATTATTTCAAATAGCATAGTTTTTTTTTCCTATTATATGTTTTAAAAACAATAAAGAGAAAGAAACAAATTTTCCTATTAATTGTATACTGGAAGAGGTTTTCATTAAAATTCAAAAGAATCTAAATTTAAATTTGCCTATTAATTTAAATGAATGGAATATTAAAGTCATTGGATCATCCAGGTAGGATGCTTAATTCATTAATCATCATTAATTTTCTAAATATCATTAATTTTTGACAGTTGCTATCCCAATTTACAATCCCAACCCAAATTAAAATGGATGGTTATCTTACTTTTCCATTTAATTTTTAATAAGCGAAGAAATTGTAGCATATTGAATTGATTAGTGGTTATATAAGAAGAATTTTTTAAAGTGGAGTGAATCTCTATGAATGAAAAAGATCATATTTTTGAAAAATAAATACAAAATATGTGATGTATGAGAGAAGTTATGAGTGTAAGAGAAAGAAAATGGAAAAAAAAAACTAAGAGGGTTCGTGGCTTTAAATTTTTCTATCTTTTCATCATTTCATTTTTATTTTTTCGCATGCATCAATTATTATAATTGTATGTTAACGAAAATAAATGGTGTTGAGTGAACAAAAGCGTAGTTTTCAATTGGTAATACCAATGAAAATGAGTTACTATCTTTAAACCAAAATAGACAAAGTGTTTATCTTATCTTCTAAAGTTTAGTAATTGATTTGTTTTATACACAAAGAAATGAGAAATGTCATATATATATATATATATATATATATATATATATATATATATATATATATATATATATATATATATATATATATATATATATATATATATATATATATATATATATATATATATATATATATATATATATATATATATATATATATATATAAAATAGAAATTGTTTATACTTTTTAAATATTGGAACAAATTAGGATAAAACATATTTTTATTCTAAAAATACTGATATTACATGGTAATTATAGATATTTTAATTGGTTGTATATGTAAAATTGTATCACACTGCCAGTGCAATACCTTTAAATCCTTAAAATATTGTGCGATTAGTAACTTCAGAAGAATTTGAAAGATAACTTCCATATCTTTTATTGTCGTGAAAGAGAAGAAGAAAATTATAGAATACATATTTTTATGACGGAGACATTCTTTAAGAGTGCCACACAAATGAGAACTCTCATGCATTATACTATTTATTTGTAGGAGCTATACAAATTGTTATATTGTTTGCCTCGAAAGAAGAATTGATATTATAGAAATTTGGTAACATTTTTTTTAGATAAGTTGCAAGATGTTGTGTTTAAGCGTACAAACGAGTATTCCCGTTTAAATGCTATGTAAATAATTTAATTTAAAATCAAAATTAAATTAAAAAATATGTTTATGTTTTAACACGTGTGTATACTAAAAAGACGAACAAACGAGTTTCTTTATTTTAAATATAAATTGTATTTAATATTTATAGGTAATTGATAAATATATATCTATGTTTACGTATAGTGAAATAATAGTTAATATTAAACTGATAATTTTCACATATACATACTCCAACAACAAATGTCAAAATAAGTAGTTATTATATCAGTATATAATTTCAAAAATAATATTAAATTGGGTTTAAAAAATTTTTTATATAAATAATTTATACTAAAATCAATATAAATAGTTAATATTAAAATCAAAATTTTTAAAAGATAATTAGTTAATATTTTCACGCATCAGCGAATTAAAAAAAGCGGACAAACGGACACGGAGTGTCCGTTTGAACGCTAGGATATATTATTGTATTATAGTATCATATTGTTATTTTCATTTTTATTATATCACATGTCTCTATTTTATGCCCACGCGTCACCTATGTCCTATGTATTTAACATTTCCCTTGTTCATATATTTATTTCCTGATTGAATATATTTATGTGATGTAAATTACTTAAATTGATTATCTAAATTTGAAATAAAAAATATTTGATCAGATGTGAAAGTGTGATGAATGAAGAGAGATAAATGAAAGGAAAGTTGGCTTGAATTGAATTGCAACGAAGTGAAAATCGAAAAGACACGATGGAACATCCTTTAATACTTACGTACGCGTCCCTGTTTCTTTTTCTACATCCGCAGTCCTCCCTGTTTCTTTTTCTACATCCGCAGTCCTCCCTGTTTCTTCTTCTACATCCGCAGTCCTCCCTGTTTCTTCCCCACTGCTTCATCTTTCTCCGCCGGCAAGGTACACGTGTCTTCCTTTCTTCACTGTTTCATTGTTATTTTCTTTACTGTCATCTGGTTAGTAAAAGTGAAGGATGTATGAAGCACAATCATTCTATGCTTCTCCTTAACTGGCTTCTATGTTCTTACTATGTTAGAATTTGGCTAATCTATAATAGTTGTGTTTGATGCAGGTTTAACAGAAAGTGAATGGATCAAGCTGTTCGTCTTCTTGTTCTTATTTTGGTCTCTTTTTCATTAAGATGTGAATCATGGGGTTGGTTTTCATCATCTAAAGAGAAACATTATAGCGAGAGGTCTTATGGAAATCAAACAAATTTTAGAGGTTCTAGTGCTGAATTCTCAATCGAGGCTTTCAATGACCCAAAGGGAATGAAGCTAATAGAGAATGCTAAGAATAAAATGGTTGGTTCAAATACTTGTTGGCAAAATGCTTATCAACATCTTTTTGCCGGCTGTTCTGAGATTTTGGCCGTTGATGACAAAAGGTCTAGGTTAGCTTGGCGTCTAAGTGATTGCTTTCAGAGGGACTCCGGTAGGGCTTCTTTCCCCAATGTGACTCAAAAACACCAATTGCTACCTGTCTAAAAAGTTTAGATGAGCTTGCTCATAGCATTTATCTTGAATTCTACCTTGAAACCAACTCCATTTGTTATCAATTACAGTTAAGTGCAATTGCTTTTTTATAATCATTTGTCAATTCTATTTTTATGTTTTTGTTTTTTTTATAGTCTTGTGTGTACTTTTACAGGACACATGCATTCAAACATGAAACTGAGAGACTCGTGACTGAATTGAAAAGTTCTGCTCAATATGTTGAGGACAAGTTAGAAAGTATTGAAGAGAAATCAGAACATCTATTACAAGGCTCAAAACAGATTTTTGATTCTCTTGAATATGTTAGTAATCATGCACAACTAGTAGTTCAAACTGTTAAGAATGTGGAAGGTCATATTGATGTGGTATTAAGGCATTCAGAAAGTGTTTACGAGCAAACTAAAAATATTGCAATATCACAATCACAACTACAAGAAGGACAAGAGCAGTTGGGAAGGAATTTAGAAGACGGGGTAGCACTACTCAAGGAATCTTATAGTAATTTGGGCAAAGAAATAGGAAAGTTAAGAGACGAAGCCATTGAAATTGAGAATGAGGTAATCAAAGTTGGAGATACTATGTCATCAAAGATGAACACTCTGCAAAGCAAAGCTGAAGATATTGAAAATGTGGCAGGGATTTCCTTAGATAAACAACAACAACTTTTAGACGGACAATCCACAGCGCACTCCAGGGCCTAAATTCATTGAATGAGGTTCAACTCAAGGCATTAGAGGAAAGCAGGTTTGATTGATCAAATTTATGAATTCGTATTCATAAACTGTATTTGGCAAAATGTTAACCTCATAATTGGTGAAATGTAGAAAAAGCCTACAATATTATAGGCAACAAGAAGAGCTTCTACGGAGGCAGGAACAAATGCAAGGGATTCATAAATCGATTAATGGAAAATTCAAAAAAAATATTGTATGCTCAGGTTTGTAATTTTTTGTGACAATTGTTTTGGGTGTTAAGCTCCTTATGCACATGTATCCTTAAAGATTTTAATGAGATTCTCCATTTGTGCTCTATAGGAATCTTTTGAAGAAAAGCAAGCTACCATGTTTGTTGTTTTGGATAAAATCTTTGCTTTGCAAAATGTCATGTTGCTTGAATCAAGAGTTATTAAAGCTTTCTTCATTTATGCCATTTCAATCTTTGTCATCTATATGTTGACTAGCACAAAGCAGACTTACAATAAGTAACGACAATATGGAGCAACAGACATGGATAATAAACAAAGTCCGGTTATTTTTCATGCTATCTGCTTCGGCTCAACTTTCGTATGCAATTTGCACATACAAGTAAGTGTACAAAAATACAATTTTGTTATTTATATGTAGAGTTTATGAGTTGATTGTGTTAATAATTACGCAGAGACTATGAAAGATTGAACCATCAAATACTACTAACACTGGTCAAAAAGATTAACACCATGCAAAAAATAAAAGAGTCTTCTTGGGACTTGGATATGGAGGATCATGTGGATGATTGGTCTCAATGGATAGATACTGATTTACCTGATGATGTGAACTGCGTTGATGATCCTGACTATATAATTCCTGAAGAAGTCGCAGAGAATTCAATCTCAACTTCTATATCTACAAAAAGTTATAATCTACGCTTACGAAATCGTTTGCATTGATTCGTCACACACTGCTATTTTTGTAGTAATTAGCATTGGCACTTTATTTCGTTAATTTATTTCAGGATTTTGGATTAGATAACAGTGTATGCAGTTGAAAATTTCTTCAAATTTCAACCCAATTAAACTGGAAATTGGACTGAATTCAATGATCCATGTTTCAGAATTTAGTTTTGGCATGATATGCATTTGTTATTAGAGGAGTTGACTCCTCATAGTTTGATTTTATAACATACCAATTTGGAGATTAAGGCAGTAGGCTCACTCAATAAGTCTGTCATGTGATTTAAACAGATTAAACATACATTTTTTGTCATTTATATTGAAAAGTCAATTCAACCACTAATTTCTTGTAAATTTTCAGCTACAAGATCATCTGCTATAAGTTATATCAACCATCCACTATTTTTTAATCAAAACCGCAGTCTCAAATGTGCATGAAGTCACAATCCTACTAACTTCGCTTATGATAAGTTTTGAGCTATAACTCAGCAAACATGATACATATCAAAATTATGTTGCTAGGCTCGATCTTGTATAACGCAATGTGAGTTAATGGGTTAAGAATGTTACAAATTTGTTAGGCTGCATGAAAACAATGGTGATTGTTTGTTTTCACATTAGACATAACAAAAAAAACACACTATCCAAAGCTCTAGTATTTGGAGCGTGTATATTCCAAAAGAATTGGCACACATAAGTGCCACATCACACAAGAATTCTAAAAAAAAAAGCAAAAATGTTAACTCTAAATGAAACATTACTACAAAAGAAATTTAGAGCATGTTTCTTGATTTCTCCGAACCAATTCAAAAAAACAATATTGCCGATATTCAACTCATTAACAAAAATAAGTCGTATAGGCAAAATTGTGAAATATTTGACACCCTTGTTTTTTTTAATGTTCAGAGTCTGACATAGTGACACCAAAAAATTGAACAAAAACGTGTATATATATATATATATATATATATATATATATATATATATATATATATATATATATATATATATATATATATATATATATATATATATATATATATATATATATATATATATATATATATATATATATATATATATATATATATATATATATATATATATATATATATATATATATATATATATATATATATATATATATATATATATATATATATATATATATATTACTCTAATAACTTACAAATCTTCGAGAAAATAAGTATATTTTTGGAATAAGTATAAGTAAATGGCTAGGTCCTTTAATTTTAGATAACTTTTTCATTATGAATCATTCTAAGTAACTGACAACCTTATCAGCTGCGACAAGTCCAAAACGATCCATAATGGAAAGAAGTTTCTTACGAACTTAAATTTGTACTTTTGAAGAGATTTGGATGTGCTCAACACCAAGCTTCTAATTTTGCTGATGATAATAATTCGGGGTTAAACATAACCCACCACTTAATCAAATATTTTTTAATTAACTGCGTGGCAAGGCAGTCTTTTCAAAATAATTCGGTTGAGAATGTCCAAGAACTAATCCAAATAATTCCAAACACAGCACAAAAAGATAACATCGCTTTGTGCGTTGGGCAAGTAGTGGCTGAGGTAAACTCATTGAATGTATTAGCAGCATAATCAGAAAAGATGTCTAATGTTGGTTTAACTAGATGAAACCACTGTATGAACCAGCAAGGGAAATTTAACGAGATGTCTTTATTGAACCAAATAAACCATGTATGATTAAAGGGTTCAATAGCTAGGAATTTGGTCCAAGCATCCATGTAATCAAAATAATTGAACTTCGGAGGAGAGTATAGTCGGCTAAAAGAACGACTTTCAGCTGGTGGTTGGTCCCAATCAGATGGAGACCAAACTTTAATTATTTTAAATTTTGAGAATTTATTTTTTGATTTGTCTGATTCGTCATAATGGTGAGTAAGAGAAATGGAATTGGTGCAACTAGAAAAAAACTCATAGAATTTTCTGGTTTTTGGCAATTCTTTAGAAACAAAGAAAAATTCTGGAGGGAAAATTCTTAAAATAATTTGTAACAAAGATGCATCTCACAAATAGTATATTGGTTCTAATTCTATAATTGGTTCTGGTAAACTTTTGGTAATAAATGAAGTTTTTACTGAGGAAGAAGGAGTGTAAAATGCTAATTTAGAGTTTGATTTAGCTTGAGAAGATGAAGGGGTCGTAATTTTCTGAGTGAAGGCTAAGTGTAACACCCCCTTTCTATACCCCAAAATAAATCAATTAAATCATTTAAGCGATTAATAAAGGTTCCATCAGAGTATAAATTAAAACATGATATAAAAGAGGCGCATCACATTATCGTCGAAACGAAACATAAATAATACCTGCTCATAAAGATATGTAACAAAAGGGGTAAATCTCAACTAAAAACAAAGCATAGCGCTTAAAACCCACATATCAACATTTAGAATAAAGTGGAAACATCTAAACATTGAAATCGTTTCATTAACATAACCATTCTATACATCATTCAGATTAATTCAATTCATCAGTTAAGTTACAAAACAAGCATCAGCAGATACATACGCGGATGTATCACAAAAGAATCAAAACAATTCCTAACTACCCAGTGTTACATATCAGAACCATCTGACCAAAAGAAATGAAGACTCGTTTCACAAAGACCTCCAACATCCTACTCTGCAATGCCTCATAGAGCATTATAAAACAGCAGAAGGGTGAGAAACATTACCATAACAAACAATGCATAAAATTATGTATATCATAAAACACAATTATAACATACACGAAATTCACATTTCTCACCACAACTTGTTACAACACATCACCAAGTACACGTACATAATCAATCACATTCACCAATTCATGCTTCACAATACATAGCATATCACTTAAACATTTACAATTATGTTCATTTCACCAAAACATCATATAAAGATGATAATGCAACTCGTGGAGACCGACTCATGACTCTATGCAGATGCAAATGCGGTACCGACTCGTTCAGTAGGTTCAATTGAAGAACCAAAATGGAACAATCGCTCGTTACTAAAGTAACTCCCCGTCGGGCCTACGATGTTCACCCATCGCTCACACCCCACATGGGCACACAATGTTTCAGGATTGCTCACACCCCATACGGGCACACAATCCGGTTGCTCACACCCCACAAGGGCACACAACTGTTCTGCAGATTCTCCACGGAATTAAAATAAACCATCGCTCACACCCCCCATAAGGGCACACGATCGTTTCTGCAAATCCTACGCGGGATCAGACACACAAGAATGCAATCATGATGCTACACATGCAACACGACACAATACACTCTTACAATGCACACATGTTTACAAACATATTCAAGCATTCTTCATATCATACAAGTACATACAATTATGCACATTCATATCGATATCACCATGCAATTCCATTTAATTCGAACAATTGCACAAAATTGCCAAACGACCACTTACACATTTTACAATTCATAGTCCAGGATTTACGCCATACGGCCACCCACGGTATAATATAACTTAGCACGATCGATGCCTCGAGCAAGAAAATAATCAAAGTTAAGTCGGAAACCCGACCTCGGATGGAAACACTAAAGAAAACACAACTTGTCACGCTCGCCACTCTACTCGCTTAGCAAGCTCCTAGCGAGTATTCGCTACTTGTTCGCCTAGCGAACAAGCTCGCGAAGGCAAACAGAAGCCTCTGACTTCGTTCGCTACCTCGCTCGCTCATCGAACCCCTAGCGAACCTTCGCTACCCCAATTCACTACCAGCGAACACCACAACATGCATTCTGTCCAAGTCTGGACCATTCGCTACCCATTCGCTACTGCTCGCTTAGCGAACGTTCGCGACCAGCTCGCCTAGCGAACATGCTAGCGAGTGTCTGCGAACCAGAATTCCTCATTGTTCAGAATTCCTCCACCACTCCAAAAACTGACCGATTCTCATCAAATCAGTTCCAAAAGCCTTAGTCTATCAAACCCTGACTATTCTACAACACTTACATCAAATTCTACCCGATAAAACATCCGTTCTACCGATTAAACTCATTATGCCCTAAAAGTGAAAAATGAGCAAAAACTCTCCCCAATCCAAAACAAAACCAACAAGAACACACATAATCATACACATTGCAGGAATAATAAAGTTTCACACTCTTACTCGATCAATCGAAAGCTTAGAAGTGGATTCTTGATGATTCTAGGTTTTTCTCCTCTTTTCTCTTCTCTTCCTTTCTTTCTCTTCTTTTTCTTTCCTCTTGGTTTCTATTCTCTCTATTCTTTCTCTTTTCCACTTATACTCTTTCTATTCTATTTCTCTCAAAATAACCACTAATCAAGGATTATCTAAAACACTCTCTACTTAATTCCCAAAACTCTCCAAATAATAAAATGCCACAACATATACACATAACATATTATCACATAATTCCACAATAAAATAACAATTAACCAAATAAATTAAAAGACTCAACAAAATAATGGGAAATTCAGAATCGGGGCATTACACTAAGGGGGATAGTAAAGCAGGTTTAATTTGAGGTTTTGGAGGAGTGGTAATATTTGAGCGCGACACCGGTTAAGTTGTCTTGGAAGTAATGGATTAGTAGCTACTGGTTTTCTGTCTGAGTAAACATCTTCGGAGTGTACATCATAAGATGACTATGAGGGAAAAAATTGCCTTTATATTTTTCAAAGTCGGGCACCTTGAATTTGTGCGATACTTTCACAATGGGGACCAGACAGAGGTCAGCGACATCTTTGCCAAACAAGTCGTGTCCGCGAGTGGCATGCATTTCTTTCTGCATTTCTAAGAACTGTTCTTGGAATTCAATCATTCTTTCGTATACTTCTTCATGCTTTTCAAAAGTGGTTTGAAGAATCAGTTCCTCTGGGATAGTATGTATCACAGGTTATGGTATAAACATCACTGTAGTTACAATATGTAGTCCAAGTTTCAGAATAATATTTGACAACCTTTTCTTTTCC